AATACTGAAAGCTAATGGAAGTAATTCTGGAAGCTATATAACCCCTAAATATGTCCCTTTTCCATTTTATGTCTCCCATGAAAACTGTTATGAGACATGCACATGGCTTGAAACAGATAATTACTGATAATCTGGACTGGTGGGAGAAGGAACCATCTGGCAGATGGAAACTAAGGTGCCAAGAATTTAGCAGACTAGGAGGCTTCTTGAGAATTTATGCATAGAGGTCTGAAGAAAGGAATATTTAGACAAAAGGTCAGCTATTCTGTTTCTATCTATACCCAAAACAAACTGGAACACCAAAAGTATCCAAATAATTATGAATCACCGAATCACAATGTTATGAAATTCATCTTGAAATTATGAGCAAAACCAGTGAATCTAAAACTATGTTAGAAGTGAGGAATTATTTCTGCATACTGTGATTAATCACAAATGGTAACAGTACACAGAATGGACACATTTTATCTCATATCCTTCAGGTTTCTATCCTCTCTGCTTTTAACATGCAAATGCCTTTATTCATCCTCTCCTGACCTGGCTGTGTGGTATCATTTCTTTCCATTTTCCTTAGCAGTATTTCTTTCTTCTTATAGCAGAGAAAGAGTAACTTCTGATAGACTCCGCTTTGTATTCCTTTCCTTTCTTCTAAGTGAATTTCTTTTCCCTCTGCTTTTCTTTGCAGAATTGATAATTTCTGTGAAGAAACAGGGATGTCATGACAGCCAAGAGCTCTTACTTGAACACATTAACAGAACTCATTTGATACCAGTGAATCCCAATAAACCAGATAAATCTTATTTTTAACTTTAAATGTGTGCAATATAATGAATATTGCTGAAATTTTTTTTATTATTTTAAAACGTGCACATTTTCATAACATCTTGCTCAGGAGCTCTCATACAAAATGTAAACCACATCCAATGACTGCCAAGATAACTAGCAGAAAGCACCGGCCATTGAAGTAGGACACATTAATGGCAAGCACTCTCATGCTCACTACAGCCTCCAAATTAAATCATGTGCATAATTCCAGCAGAGTAATATTTATCCTGGTACAACACTCTTAATGAAAACAGTAATAGAATAAGAACATTTTTGATCCATTTGACTAAGTTACGCTAGCGGCGTTTGACCGACAGTCTGTTCACGTTAAGCAGCCCCACGCAATTTGACACAATTGGCATTCACCACTCCAAAGAGACCCATGCCCGCACTTTAAGGGATGCACAGGAGCAAAATTGAAATACAGGTTCTAAGACCACCCTTTGCAGTGTGCAAAAACTTTCAAGGACGCTTAAAACACACCACAGCAATTAGAAATGAAGGGGAAATAAAGAATAATACCACTCTTCTTTTCGTGGCCTACAGGATGAAAAACACTTGTTTCAGAATGGATTATAACCACCAATATTTCATCTCTTGAGACCTGAGTTCAAATCATAATTTAAAACCACAAACCTTGTTTTTCAGTTAAGTCAGTCACATTCCTTTTCCTGGTCAGGCCATGGAGCTTAACACTTGACAAACTATGAAGTGATGAGAAAAATTTGGCTAGAAAGCCCAAAAAATATTTTATCTAGCTATTTTTTTCATTATCAGCATTTAGATCAGCTGCAGCAAGTTGCACACTTTTACGCATCTTGTGTTTTAAGTTGATTCAGTGGAGGACAGAGGGGTTTCCTGTGTTTTCATGCACTGAGTCATCATTACCATTTATAATGCTTGTACAATTTTCTGGTTTTGTTCACAGCAGAAAACAACATGCCTTTCTGTTCCATCAAAATAACATGTTAAGTCTTCAAAACAGCCTCCATCCCAGTTCAGTGCAACCTAGTGCATCCTGTATCTTGTGTATGTTATTGATTTTTCACTAAAACAAGCATTAGCTTGAGTTGAAGAAGTACACTGTAATTATTAAATCCAAGAGAAAGCAAACCCAGGCACTATGTTTAAGCATAAGAGTCAAGTACTATTTAAGTATTCTGACATCAGCTAGATGTCCCTCCTCACGACAGACAGAGAGGTCTTTTGTAACCACGTTCATACTATTTCTGATATTCTATTTTTCTCTATGTATTTTCACATTTAAAACCTTTTTTTACTTTTTAACTATGCTTGTCTTTTTTAATTCCTCTAATCTTCTTTTCTGAATATTAAAATGACCTTTTAACTGCTAGTTGTTCACATACTTTTATTTTTTTAGTAGTAGTAGCATCAAACATAGGACTTAACCCATCTGCATTGTACACATAAGCATGCACTTCTCCTGAAGCTTTACCTGACCAAAAGTCCTTTGCTTTCACAAAATGAGCTTTGCCTTACTTCTGTTCATGAAAACATGCCCGGGAACAATTGTACAGTATGTTGGGTAATTCCATGCTGCAATGTAGTAGGTGGAGCTCAAACTACAGACCAGGCTCAGATGCTGTAGCTCCACTGGCACACCGTTCTCGGCAGCAAAGTGAAGCAGATGCTTGCAATGCATCATTGCAATGGACTCAGATCGACAGGATGAGCTGTTTAATGTCATTAGAATCCAAAACAGATTTTTGGAAGCCAAGTAAACCGGGCTCACCTATTTCGCACTCTCAAAGGCAATTAGTTCCTGTTCACACAACCCAGAAAACTCTCCCAAAAGAGACCAGCCCGCACACAGACGGCCATGCTTCAGCTCCCCAGACCAAAAGAGCTTACACCGTCATGAGAAAGCCCCAGCCAGAACCGGGAGCCAAGTTTCATCCTTTAGACAGAGGGAGTCCGGCAGCCGCTCAGCGCCGAGCTGGCCAGCGCAGCGACAAGCGGGCAGGGCTGCAGAAAAAGCAAGCGAGTACGAGCAGGGGTGTGGAAAAGGCAAGCGACTGCTCTCTGAGCAGATCGGATTTTCAAACTCTGCTCCAGGGCACACCGACTGGAAGAAGAAAAAAACACAAAAAAAAAAAAAACAAAAAACAGGGTACAGCCCAAGCACAGGTGTCCAAAGTCTGCTTCGCACCAGAATACGTGCAATGATAACACAAAACACCTTACATGCAAGTACCTTAATCTGTATTTTTAATACCCAGTTAACTATCCCTCTCGTTTTTAGCACTGCTATCTGGAATTTGGGAATACATCCTAACAGGCCAGTTGCAAGATCTCCCATTGATAGATGTTATTTATTTTATATTGGCACTGAATGTGAAGATGAACTGAGGGAACGCAGTTATTCAGCAAGTGTATAGGCAGCTTTATGCAACAATCTTTTAACTAGTTTATTAAATGCGTTTTCTTTTCATAGTAAGTTCAACATCTAATGCCAAACTTTTGTGAAGAGCTCAAATAGCTTAGGAGCCTGTTATCACCTGTTTAACTTAAAGTACTTACACAAGAAATAGACATATTACTCATTACTAAAATTTTCACACATACACGCACACACAGAAAATCAGCATCCTGTTCATATCAATTTATTTTCACAAATAAATTTCTTTTTTTCTACTCATACTCTTCACACTTTCTGAAGGCACAACACCCAAATAGGCAATATAAAATATACTTCCTGTAGAAAAGCCTATAGTCTCCTAAGAGAACAGTTTGGAAGAAACCACTTTTGTTTAAAAACTCACACTCCAAAGTGAGCTTTCAAAAAGCATCAAAGAACACTGGCAAGATTAAAGACTACTTGAGGTGTCCACACTTCTTATATGCAACATGCCACTTAATCTTTAACAAACCGGGACTTTTTTAGGAAACTATAAAAGCAGAAGTACTAAAATCTAGTCATTTTTTTAAACAAGTTTTAACAACGGGACAGACTCTCTAGGCAAAGCACCCAGAAAGAGCCAGACCACCATCTGGCTCCACCATAGAGCATGAAAATTAACACGAAACAAGCATCAAACCAGCTCTCTGAAATCAAACGCTAGCTTGACTCCTTAAAAGCTCCACTACAGCTATGAACACACAACTGAATGTTTCCTCCATCCTCGTAAATAAATATACCCTCATACATTTAGACAAAGGGAAAAAATAGATCATTTTTCTATGCTTCTCTGTTACACCTGTTACCAATCAGTATCAAGAAATATCTTACGTATCTTACGTACTGTTAGCTCTATATAAATATATAATATATATAATTTGATTTTTGTTTTTTCACACATGCTAATGTTTCCAGTATGATAAATGTCTTGTTAAATCCTGCACTTCTTGTCAGCTGTAGATGCACTTCTGTTTGACAGTGACTCCTTAACATATGTGTCAAGACAAAAGAAAATACTGCTGTGATGGCAAACATTTTAAAACTCTTGAGGACACCAATACAGTGGCACTTGACTTTTTAAATACAACAAAAAAGACACTAGTTAAATAGAAATCTGCTTTGACATAGCCATAAAACCTGCACATTTGTGTACCTGTTCCTGGAATAGCAGCAACTAATCTTTCAACATGTCAAATGCTGCACTCCAGCCCTCCACCCAAACCCTTAAAAAGTCCACATTGCTATTTTAAGCAAGCATCCCCTCCAGCTGTACATAAACAACACTGCAATTCCCAAACAGTTGAGGTAATTATAAAAATGAATATCATTTATTGGTTTATTACTATCATGTCTGAACATTTGCTTTCGTACAGAAGCCTGATTCTCAGCACTATGCTTTCCAAGGGCAGCCTCTCCGCACCAAGGAAGATAAAGATGTGTTAGGAATTGGGCAAGAGTTTTCGTTACCATCTTCAAACCCATAAGAACTCCATAAAGAAGATTTTGGTACAGAATCACTTTCTGGCATTTTAGAGAAGGGGAAAGGGGCTTTACACATAATTTAGTTCCACTTTATTGTTGATTTTTTTTAGTCGCATCTAACCCAATGCAGGGGGTGGGGGGGGATAAAAAAAAAAAACCCAAAAGAAATAAATCACGACATATGTTACCCTTCAGCAGTCTTTGGAGGAAATCAGAAACCAGGTTGCTTTTCCTGGCTCCTTCCCTCACTCAGCCAGGGGCACCCACCGCCCCGTCACAGCTGCGGCTTCCTGAGCAACGTTCTGCTGAGGTCCTTCACCTCTTCAGGGCTGCCCACCCTCTCATAACCCAGCAGAGCCATGGGCTGGTGGCAGTACTCCTCAACCTGCTTGATCTGCTGGTAGCTGAGCGCAGT